TTTTTACCATTCTCATTTCATAGGCAAAATTCTGACCATCAGCAGCTCATATTTTCTGTAAAAATAATTATATTAACAGTACTGCCTGCATCAATTAAACTTGTAACCTAGACAGAAGAGACAGATCTTTTCAAACAGATCTTCTAATGATCTGTTTGTTTAGCAATACACTTATTTCTTCTTATACTGTAACCTTCTTTTAGTACTTTATTATTGAATTGTATAACCACTACTCAAAAACTAGACAAGGAATCAGTGACTGATTGTTCCTTTCTACTTTCAGACATCATATAAACAGCTTTATCTTCCTTCACTTTTAGGAAATTCTTCCAGTGTTCTGAAATGAGCTAAACAGATCAATAGTTAGCAGCCTGCACAGCTCCTCAGGCAGCCCTCTTAAAACTTTGTGATGTGAGTTTTTTAATGAACTCTAGCTCATTGTATGATGTGAATTCTGGTAGTTTTAGTATCTATACTGGTAACATATAACCTCTTTTTTTAGCCCCAGGTAAGGAATGGGGGGAAAAAATCAATACACCTTCCTTTAGAACAGGGTGAAAGGAGAGGCAATGTGGACAACAGGGATTTTCCTGTTTCAGGTAATGTGCTGTACCTTATCAAAGGGGCTGGGAATAACTCCTGATAGGGTTCATCTCCCCTAGGTCTAGGATTGGACACCAGCATGGAAAGAGACTGATGGGAAACAGCAGCATCAAGAACTACTAATTTGCTTTCAATCCTACTGTATTTGGATTTGCTACCAAAGAAGTGAAAGACATCCCTGACTGGGCAGCTATTAAATTTTACTTTAAAATTCCAGCGGAGCCTCAGATTGAAGACATTAGCTTTACTCTCATAAAGCAAAGTGGCATGAACTTCATTGAAGTTTCGGAAGGATATAACAAAAGACAAAGCATAAAAAAAAAAGCATAATCCCCCCCAAAATCTATCAATTCCTCATTTTTCCTGCAGGATGACTATAAAAGTTTGTCATTTCTTAGCCACTTACAAACTACATAATGGCAAAATATTTACTGCACATTTTTATTTTATCATGATTTACTTTACGTAGTCAGTTCTCTGTTGAAGGTACACATAACACAACACAAGTCTGGCTGCCCTTTGGGGAGTGCAGCTATCTTCTTCTAGTTTTATAAGTCCAACCTCTTACACACCAGAGTATATCTGTTCATGAAGAAATTAAGAAAGCTGAGCAACACTTTGATTTCTATTGAATCTCAAATGTACTTTAGCTCAAATTACTTGAAAATACTCTTAACTTTGCTTTGAAAATTGTCACAATGACAAGTACTTCATTAATGATGAAAAATAATTTAACTTAAAAAAAGCAAAGAGTGATAGACCAACTAAATAAACAGGGTAATCATAATTACAGTATATTGCCCTTCACATCTTCAGAGTACTTTACCAACACAAATTTTCACAGAAGTCCTGCCTGATATTAATGCATCATTGAGGTCCTTTATAGAATTCAGAATCAGAGGAATCCAGGCATTTTTGAAGATCATACAAAAGAGCAGCAGAGCCAGTATCAGGACAAACATATTGTTGCAGACTTGCCAAACCAATTTAATAGAAGGGGCTCTCAGTTCTTGTGCTCAGAGGCCTGGCACTACAAGCCTGAGAGTGTTATTTGCTTCTCTCCTGGACTATGCTCTGGATCTGGGCTCTTCTGCCTTTCATGTCCAAGAGCTTTTAGTAGCATTTAGTGATCTGCCATAAACATATAGTCTGGAGCCAGTGATATAATAAATAGATCCTGTGTTTTAAGGGACAATATATATGGAAGAGTAGAAGTAGTCGTAAGTCACAAGCAGTGATAAACTAGAGTGGAGCAAGAGTGGAGCAACTGATAAAAGGCAAGTGGACAAGAACACTCCCAAAGAACCTTGGCTAATTCCAACTTTCTTTTTTTGAACACTGAAAGTTACTGTTAGAATTTTGAAGGAGAATACCTAAATAGAGAAAAACAAAAATATTCTAGAGAAGAATGCTATTTAAAAAAAATTATTATGGTTACTGACAAGACATGAAATATTTCTTTTTTTGAATGTACACACAGGGCATGCAAACAGACATGTGTGTTATTCCCACCATACAACACAACTCTTGTGTCTTCCTCTGACACAAACACAAGCCACATCTTTTCCCAGTCTTCCCGCTGCCTTTCATTTCTTGTGCCGTTTCCACCTAGATGGAAAACCTTGATACAAAGTTTCATGTTACATGGAACAGATTTCCCAGGATACATTTAGAATCAAGATGGTTTTATAAGAAAGAGAACGTAAGATGAAAAGGGGCAACTTTTGCAACAGCCACAACATTACATTAGCTAGGTTTAGTATTTTTCAAGGCATAAATACTCAGCATTCCATTACATTAAAAATGGCCTAATCAATTCAATGGACTTTCAAAGAATTCTTCCAATATATAATGCTTTAATATTGAGTGTTGGCAGTAAGTACAGCATAGGGAAGAACAGTATTAGAGAGTGAATGAGGGGAGCAGTACTGGTAAACAGAAGAAACAATTCAAAATGAAATATTTTCAGTTATAAAAAAGCAGACTTAGGGATGCAAGAAAACTACTTGGATTCCTGTCTGTATGGACCTGTGGTGCTTTATATGCCTTGGTGCTCGATTTGCCTTTCATATAATTTATATTGTTCCCACAGAAGTCAGTAGGCTTCATGCAGAAAAGTCAAATATATGGAATCCCAGGCAGATAGGCTGGTATAAACCTGTCAAAGTGAATAGAAATATCGCAACTACTTAAGATGGCCATAGAACTTGTTTCAAGTTGATTAAGTTAATTTTTCTTAACTTTTCTAGTTCAGTTTGTGGAGAGTTTTTTTGGGATTGGTTTATTTTATTGTGGATTGTTTTGGTTTGGTTTTGGGTATTTTTACTAAAATTGTTAGTCGGCTTAATGATTTATTCTTAACCAAAGCGGATAAGTTACTTCATAAATTGACCCAAAAGCATATTGACAAATGGTAGGACTTATACAAATAGTATAGTAGCTAGTATACAAATTGTATAGTAACTTTCCCTACAAGGTTCTGTCTTCTGTAGCATTTCCATTTTAAGTTTATGTCATTAAACCTAACAGCTTTATAAACACAACATATACATTTAATTCCTTTATGTACTTTCACACAGAATATCCAAATATACCAATACACTAACACCTTTTGAATGAGCACTACTAAGGCATACTTTTTGTTAGAATTGGGCTTTATTTTTACTTTCCCACTGTAACTGACTGGGTATTTTATGGATTTTCAATGCTATTTTCATTGGCAAGGATAATATTCTGTGACATGGATCAGGAAAGGAACCAAAAAGAAAAAAAAATATTGTGAAACTGAACCTGTGAAAAGAGAGAATTTAGCACAGTATTAACATAAGAGTGAGAACACTGAAATGCAAAGCAGATGCGCATTTGTCTTCCACTGAAACTTATAAGAGTAAATAGAAAATAGTTTTAGAAGTGATTAACTGAGGTGGTCTTCAGAAAAACTCACAGGTGAAGATGCAAGATTTGACTTCATTTTCCAGATCTTTCACAATTCACAGGATGTGGCCTTGAACATAGTTTACTTGTGGGTATATTAAAATCTAATCTAACATCATGGCAAAGTTGCAATACTGCCTATAATATGCCTTTCTATGCCTTCTTCTCGATATCTTCTCTCTATGGCTTTGCAAAAAACACAGAGCCTCATGGGAGGTTAAACACTCTTCCATGACCATCCTGTACGCTGCTACAAGACTAATAATATCCCAAAACATTTTCTAAGCTCAAACCACACCAGCAGTGTAAGAAATATGACACAAGCAAACATACATACCTGTTAACACCATATTAAAAAAATCCAAAGAACACATAAGGTTTTCATATCTGTTAGTTAACAGAATTTCTCATAGATAAAAATATGTTACAGAGGGAGAATAAAATGAGAGAGAATTTGACACTATGTAAGTACAACTAAAAGATGGGGATTTTCTTCTGTTAAAAATCATTAATAGGCTTTGAATTCAGAGCTAGGCCATGAATTCTCAGATGCTCTAGCTTTGTCCTTGTGTGCCTGCTGGCACAGACTCTTACATCAAGAACTGTGCAGTACAGAGCTTCCAACCATCCCTCCCAATTCAGGGCACCAGGAGAGCAGGATCAAGCAGCACTGGAATTAGAAATTATGCAGGGATGCTCTTTTACAAATGTAGATGTGAATTTGCCATTCCATTTTGTGGTTTGTAGTGAGGCATTGTAACTGAATGTGACAACACTGCAGGAGGGTAGTTCTGCTTCACAGCATTGTAAGGGAAGGGAAGTGGGTAATGCTGATGCTTTACAGCTGTAGGCATGCTTTTCCACAAATAAGATCTATACACAAATATATGTATACAGCAAGAACTCAAAGTATTCATTTCAGGGAGAGGGAAAGGCAGAAGAAAACACAGTTACAATAGGAATACTATCTTACAACCAGCACTGGCCCTGCCATTGATACACCCAATTAGAACAGATTTCTCCTAACAGCTCAGGTCTGCCACATCTTGCAGAATATCAGCCCTTCCACCTACATACTCTGGCACTGTAGTAAGATGAAAGGATGGGTGAGAATCTCAGATTAGTAGGAAAGTTTCTCCTACAGTTGTTCTCACTAAAAATTCCTTAAAAACCAGATATCTACTTAGCAAACTTTTGGCATTTTTCATTTGCACCAAAACAAAAGGTTCCTCTACAGCACTCAAATTTTAGCACTCAGATACAGTACAGAAAATGCTCTTGAATTCCAAGTGCCAGATAAAAACTATAAATACAGAGCAATATAGAGACTATTCAGGAATGGGGAAGAGGGATGAATGGGTAGGAGTTACATGCTAGAATTTAAAAGATTCTTTTGATAGAAACTTTGTCAAAACAGAGCCATTGATACCAAAAGATTTGTATTTCTATGAACTTGTATTTACCTGGGGTGAAGTATGTAAAGTCCGCAGAGCCATCCATATCTGACCTGCAGAAACCCTTTAACGCCACCTAAGTACAGTGAAGAAAAAGGAACAAATATGTCAAGCCAGGAAAATGGCTATCTCCACCTTTCTTACATGCAAGAGAAATTGAATAATTTACCAGCTGTTTGTGCTGTTGTTTACAGCTCAGGCAATGCAGAATAAGAAAATTAATTATGCCAGCACCACAGATTCATTCCCAGTGTTAATTTGCTGTGCACATTTTCCTTCACACTTCACAAGATTCCCAGGAAAAACTGATAAAGGATTGGTAAGAAAAATCCTACAACCTTGCTGCAGGTAAGAATGCAAAACAGCTACTGCTAGACTTCTTCCCTCCACCTCTTACTATCTGTTCTACTGTGAGCCACAGCCACAGTCATGATCTCTTCATACAAGATCATGACTGCTTTATCTTGACTGAGTTGAGCCAGGTTTGAGGGCACTTGGAAATGGCCAAACCTGACTCAGCTTTGTCAAGGTAAAGCAATCATGATCTCACATGCTGAAACCTCCAGGCTCTTGTTCCTCTGTGTTGTTTTTTACCCCAAAACACCTTTGTGGTCCAGGCCTGCTTGCAGCATTGCTGTGGTTTGCAAAACACCTTGCAGAAAAAACACTGGCTCTTAGTTTGGCTTATCCCAAGGGGCTTGACTAGATTCTCTGCAATTGAATTAATCCCATCTCCTGGCATAAGTCCCAATGAACTTGGAAGAAACAGGAAGACTAAAGATGTCAGCATGGTATTTCTGCACGTTCAGGGTTAAAGCCAGACCTAAGCTAAACTATTCACCTGTTGGTAATGAAAAGGAGATCTAAATGTTTTCTTCAGCTAAAACTCAGATCCCCACTGCTTTACAAGCATTAAGCAGCAAATAGGTAAGCATATTCCAAATCCTCTAGAACATCAAGATGCTGAAAATATGCATTTTGTTATTTTATCATTTCTAATGTAAGGACAAAAGCTTTTAAGTGTCAGTATACTCATCCCAGAGCTGGAATTGCTTCATTTCCTCTTTTGCTAAGTTATTTTAGAGCAGTTTGTGATACTGACTTTGTTTTCCACTCAGCCACATCACAGAGCCTGTGTAACGCTGTTGACAGGACTCAAATACTTTAAAGCAGCTAAGACAATGCTGGAACAGTCAAAATTTCTTCACTGGCATGCTTGAGTTTGCCAGGCACCTGGCCCACAAGGGGCTGGGTCACCTACCAGAAGGAACAGGGCCCTCTAAGTTTGAAAGATTTGTTTACATGGGATTTTATAGACAATATGAATTTCAGAGATATTGGAGGTACAAACTAAAATTAAGTTCCTAAATGAATATTATAAATTAATAGTACCCTAGCCATATCTCTCATTTTGGTCAGTGTTTCCACAAATTCTCATCAATGTGACTAATGTGACTGTTCATTCACAAGCTGAATGAACCGAGAGAGGTACTGGGAAGAAAGACATCAAAGTTTGGCAGGGGCTCCCTTCAAAGCCTTTCCTCCCATGTGGACTTGTCTTTAATACTGGAAAACTCTCTCTGCAGAAGAATCTCTGGTTTAGCTCTGCCTTCACTTCCTATACATGCCAGATAGCCTCTTGCCTCATGGAGACCTGTGAGGAGTTACTTCCCTATAAAAATAAGAGTTTAGTTCTGTCTCTTAATAAATGCATTTAGAAACATGTTCACTTTTTACTTCGTAGCAAATCTGCTCTAAGATACATTTTGGTTTGGGAGCCTTTTAAAATAATTAGAAATTTTGTGTAGATTTGGAAAGTTACTTTCTAATATTATTCATAAACCAACACTTACACATTTAAATCTTTATCACAAACATTTTTAACACCATAATCTACAGAATAATTCCCATTAACTTCTTTATCAAAATGGCAAAGAAAACAGCTGTTAAGCAATAACCCAGATTGTATGTACCCATATGCCAGAAATTGTACCCAATGCAGAAAAAAGTTCTATATATTATTTCCCAATAGTTCACGATTAGCCACAAGCCCAACTTGTTCAAAAACATAAAAAAATATCCTGCAACTTCAACTTCCCTTAAAAACCTAAGGAAGAAAAGAGTCAAGATTTTCAAAATGGAAAACTGCAAAATCACCAGAGGAGCAAACAAAATATAATTTCAAGCTTTTGAAAGGATGAAACTGAGAAGCAATTTTCTAGAACTCTTAGCTTGCAGAGGCTTCAATTACTACAATGTGGAATTTGTTTTAATTTTCCCTGTTTGAGGACTTGCTGCTACTCCTACTGCAGTCTCTACCAGCACCACTAATGAGGTGAATGCATAAGGGTTCAGAGCTGAACTGTACTTACAGCCAGAAAATAATGTCTATTGCAGAAGCACATTTAATTATATTATCAAGTTTATTTATGTTTATTACCTCTTGATGAATTTCATATCACATTTTCTCCATTTACAACTGAAGTATTTTTCTCACAGCCACCTACAGGATAAATAAAAGACAAGACTTCAAGAATGAGTCCACTCTTGAAAACATAATCATCCAAATGAAAAACATGTGAACAAAAACAAACAAAAAAAGAAATTAAAAAACCTGTAGACAATCACGTGTATCAAAACAACACACGGGCACACCTGCCCCGCCAGGACACCTGCAGCATAGGAGCAGTGTGGGCTCAGTAGGATTCCCAACAAGAAATGCAGTGTTTTCTGCACATCAAATAAACTCTGCCCACACAGACTCAACCTGCAGCACCCAGGGTACTAAAGAGTCCAACAGCAGGCTTGGCACAAAAGGAGTTCCCTTTTCAGTGTAATAAATTTTTAATGCTATTTCAGTGCATTTCACATTCAAAGCACAATTTCTCAACCACCATATTTAATTTTTGTTTAGAAGATGAACTGTCTGCAAACAGCACGCTGTGCTGCACAGAAGCCAGTCTTCACCAGAGCGAAGTCTCAGCAGTACCACATTGTCCCTTCCAGTCCAGTCTGTGAGCAAAGCATGCACTGTGGAAATACCTTGTTAGAGGGAAATCAAATTATTAAGAGAAATATTATTATATAAATGTTTAGATAAATGAATAGATAAATAAACTGATGTTATATATTCTTTCCTCCTTCACTTGCAGTGTAGCTTCATACACACATACTCAAGAACTCTGAAAAACTGATGCTTTAAGACAATGTAGGAAGCCTCTCTATCATGTGTTACTCTCTTTGAGGAGATATTAGGGATTAAAATACAAATACTTAAATCTCTTTCCAGCTGTTTGTGTTTTTCAACACTTTATTTCCTAACACTTTAGGCTGTAATGAGTGTTTCTAATGTTTTATCTCTTATTTCACTTTGCAGTGAAACAATTTCCAGTCTGTTGTTTGTATATGATAGCAATAAACAAAGTAAAGTGTATTTTTCACTAATAGAGAAAGTTTACCTGATTTCTGTGCTGCCTTCATCTCAGGGTAAGTGCTCCAAAAAGCTGAAAGACAAATTTTCTCTAACATTTTGAGGTAACAGAGAGGAAGATACAGCTAGTCATTCACAACCAGGAGGTCAGGCCTCCTGCCCTCCTCCTGCTGCACACAGATGTCCCCACACATGTTGTGAGAGGATGTGAGCCCCAAGGCAGCCCATGTGCTAACCCTGCCCTGGCCACAAATGTGTCATGAAAACCCCAGGAAAAATAGGACACAGGTGGTTGCAAAACAGAAAGTGCATACAGAGAGGTCAGGTTAGGACACAAACACAGGTTCAGCATGTTGGTGTTACTTTAACAGCTTCTTCTTAAATGTCTAAATCCTCTCTCACAGACCTGGGGCTAAAAGTCTGTCTCCCTGCTCTTTGTTCCTGTCTATTCCAGATGGGCTGCAGAGTTCTGAAGGGGAGAGCGAACAAATAAAATCTAAGAGCTATGGCTATTCCAGTACAATAAAGGGAGCCAGACTGCAGCCAAACATCAGTGAGAAAATGGTAAAAATTGCATTTTCCTCTCCTCATACTGGGGAAACCAAAATAGTCCCCTTGATGCCTATATTAAACCCAACCCAAGTAAATCAAAATGTTCTGCTTTTTTAGAACAACTGTCTGAAATTAATATACAGTTCTTAGCTTCATTTTTGCCACATCAGCCCTCCTACCTCCATGGGCAGGAGTGAAGAATAGGAGCTCTGACTTGCAGGATGCATTTCCCATTTCCCTCTTGCCCACCTTTAACTCTGTGCAGCAATACCAATGTCTGGCTGCTCCCTCTTGAAGCTATGCTTAGCAGGTGAAGCCCATCCATACACTCACTAAAGTCAAATGGAAATTAACCATATGCATATGAAGCCAAAACCTGCATATACCAGATAGAAAAAGGCAGAAATCCTTATAACAATTGTTTTAGGACACGAACTACACAGCAACATTTTTAGCATCACACTTGGGACTGTTTTGCAGAAGGAACTATCTCTTTGCCTCCAGACTTCTGATGTGGATTAAGCTTTTTCATAACTCCAGTAGCACAATTAACAGTAGAAAATATTAACAAATATGATAAATGGAAAAAAAAGGATTGTTTTTTAAGAAATGTTGATAAATATGAGTTTGCTGTGATTTCAGATAGTTTATGCCTTGCCCCTGTGATAAGACAGGAAAAGGCAACCAAATGTATTTTCTGGTTCCACCAGGGAGACTCTCAAATGGACTTTCATTGCAAATAGCTATTTGCACAAGTGCTTCATCCAGTTAGGAACTAAATCCAAATAACCCAACACGATTTGTCTGGCAATCAGGTATTTGCAGTCAGTCTCTGGATTGTGCACACAGACACACAGAAGCACTTCACAAGTCATCAGTCTGGTAATCAAATACTGTTGTTATATAATAAATTTGACTAATAGGCACAGAGCACCTGCTGGTTTTGTTGCTGCTGCTATTACTAGCCAAATTTTATTAGCAAATAAAAGCTAAGGCTGCTCTTCTTCCATTTCAGTAACTTGTGATAATGGTGACATTAGGATCCCTGTTCTGAGCACATAATTTTTAAGCTCTGTCTACACTTTCATGAGCACAATTAGGCTTGTCAAATCTACTAGTCTAAGAATCTTCATCTTCTTTCTCAGATGAATTATTTATGCAGCCAATATTAAGTAAAGAACACTTTACATATAAATGTTTTATATCAACTTAATTAAAAGTTCCCAGTTCTCAGTCACTCAGTACTGGCCTAGGTAATTTGCCTAATTTTTGTCTTCAGGGGGTTCTCTTGTGAGCAATCTAACCACACCAAAGCTGTTAGGAATGATCAGTTTATTGAAGTGATATGTAATTTATTTCTTTTACCCTAATTTTATTTTGGCAACTGACTGAATTGTGAATCTTCATCATAGGCTGCATGAAAAGAGGCTCTTGCAGAAAGAGACAAAGGGTATTTCTTCCCTGAAAGGTGATATAATAAGGTGTGGAAATAAAAGAGTTCTGCCAAAGCCCCCTTTTTAACAGGAACTTCTTCCACGCTCAGCTGATGTAAACTCTCAGTCCACATCAGGCAGCAGGGCGGCCTAGAATCACAAAGGGGTTTGGGTAGGAAGGGACTGTAAGGATCATCCAGTTCCAGCCCACCCTGCAAGGGGCAGGGACCCCTTCCACTGAACCAAACTGACAGACCATCCATTGCTTGAATACTACCAGGGATGGAGTATCCATGATTCTCAGCAATCTATTAAGGGTCTTACCACCTCACAACAAAGAATTTCTTGCTAATATCTAATCTAAACCTACCCTGTCAGTTTAAAGGGGTGATTTTTCACTGAACAGAGAGTTGAAATCCTTAAGAAAATAGAAAATACAATTAATTGGAAAAACAAAACAAAACAAAATACCCTAGAGTTTAACATGAGACTATGAAGGTCAGGCAGGGATTTTAAAGAAAATACTTGCTGAAGACACAAAAGCCAAGGTCCATTCTGGATAGTGCTTGAAGGGCAGGCAAAATATTCAGTGAAGCTGAAACCATAGAATAAAGGTCAATGATCCCTCTGTGCTGATGTTCACAGTGCAGGAAGAGTTGTGGGCACCTTCTCATACCAGAGCATTCCTAAGAATCACCAGGTCACATCTAAGAATCCATTAAAATATGCAGTGTCTGTAGAAGGTTTAATTAATAAAGCCAAATCACCACCTGAACACCATGCCTAATAATAGTCAAGAGTTTAAAATAATTTCTTATTGAAATTGCCTGTTTATTACCTGTTACTCTGAAAAGCCTTATCCCTGAAACTGACTTCCATATGAGGAAGCTGATCCAACAACAAACCTTGACAAAAGCTTTTGACTTGGGTAGAGAAGTAGAAAGTAAAATAAATAATAAATTTGCTGGGTACTTTCAAAAATATGACAGAATGGAAAGCAAATCAACTTTTCTCCTTTTTCAATAAAAGTAAAATTTCAAATTTATTAAGTTTCTGAAGTTGCAAACAAGCTAGCATAGTCCAGCCATGGAGGATCCTAGATCTTATGAAAGAAATTAATTTAGAAAACTCTCTAAATGACCTTTAAAGAAAATAAATTGTCATTGGATAAGGAGGAACATCCTCTGGCAGACTGATAATTTGCTGAAGGATAGAAGGCAAATTATAAGAATAAACAATTCTCTTATTGATGATAAAATAGTCATGGCAATAAAGACCATAACAAACCCAGATGAATTCCAGAAAGACCTAACAATGCTGAATGAGTAATTAAAAGGCAGATGAAATTTGTCATCGATAAATAAAGAAATGTCCATAGGGAAAACATAAGTACAAAATTATGTGCTTGAAATTACATTTTCCTACTCAAAAAGTAATGTAGTATCTCTGATATTGATCAAAAATAACTGTTACTTTGATAAAAATATCATTTCAATGCCCAATACCCTAAATGTAAATAAGAAATTGTTAGAGAAATAACAAAGAACAAAACATGAAACATCATTATGTTTTTCATATAAATTCTTTGGGTACCCACATCTTGAATCATGAGCACAATTTTAGTAACCTCATAACACACATAGCAGAAAAGGGCAACAAAGGATGATTAGAGACAAAATTATTTTCTAAAAATAGAGACTGAATAGAAAAGGATTCTTCAGAGTGGAAACCTGACAATAAAGATGGAGTATGCTCATTTCATGCATCTCAATGTGGAGAAGATGAATAGGAAGTGATTATTGACTGTTTCTCAGAACACCACAATTACCCAAGTCATGCTATTTAGTGCTGCTCTTAAAAACATAGAAGAATAAATATTTTTACATACTTCATTAACTCTTTTGCTACAGAAGACTGGGGTGATCAGGAAAACAAGCAAGTTCAAAAAGGAATTAAACAATTTATGGACAATAGGTCCATTGATGGACACTAACACACTCCATGCAGTCTTCCACTTGGGTAGTGCTCTGCCTGCAGATTTCCACAGCCTGTGGAAATGGTTCACTCTACACTTATCCCGCTTTTACA